CTGAGTTCTTAAATTGCAGAAATAAATATAGTTTTAAATATTTGGAAATTATCTCAATGCTCTTTGCATACTGGATTGCTGGGCTTGTCACGTATTGGCGTGGTTATCTGGGTATCTGCCAGCGACGATTATATTGGCAACGCATAACGCGATCGGAGCCCGGTATTAATTAGTATGAATATTACAACCATAGATATTTAGCGAGGAAGCTGCAAAGCTCTTTTCAAGGTGACCACCCGTGACTACTGGGGCTAGAGTTGTACTGGGGTCATGGTAATATTGCACAGTAACTAAGGACATCGTATTTTTTTCTCAGCTTCAGAAAGTGACCAACTATCATCACGTACGCTATCTTATATTCTCATAAAAGTAATTGTTGTTAGTATTCTAAACATTTCAATACGAGAGACCACGCCGTAGTTGGATCTAAAAACACTTCGTAAGAAAGTTCTCTGTCCACAGGACGGAGACAAGTATAAATCAATAAATCAATAAATAAATCAATAAATAAATAAATAAATAAATAAATAAATAAATAAATAAATAAATAAATAAATAAATAAATAAATAAATAAATAAATAAATAAATAAATAAATAAATAAATAAATAAATAAATAAATAAATAAATAAATAAATAAATAAATAAATAAATAAATAAATAAAACTGTCAGAACGACGGCTTTACACGCGATTATTAACTAATAAAAGATAAGTTTCAACTTGCCACAAACAAAATTTCATAAATAAATAAATAAATAAATAAATAAATAAATAAATAAATAAATAAATAAATAAATAAATAAATAAATAAATAAATAAATAAATAAATAAATAAATAAATAAATAAATAAAACTGTCAGGACGACGGCTTTACACGCGATTATTAACTAATAAAAGATAAGTTTCAACTTGCCACAAACAAAATTGCATTTTCATTTAATAATCATCAAGCACCAGGCTCAGCGAATCCAATTTTTGAGAGTTTGCTAGCACCGGATTTTATTATTTGGAAACTTGAATGAAAGCTCTGTGGTTTACTGAATATTCCATATAAAAGCAAGGTTTACTACTTCAAAGAACGCGGTGCCGTTCTCACCCACTTTAGATAAACCTTCAAATTAGCTAGATTGGTAAATCCACATTTTTTCCTTACGTCTGAGGCTGGATATTAAAAATAACATAATAGAATTACTTTGTGTACCCGCTATTGCTGATGCAGTATAGGATTTATTCACAAGTTTCAGTCGTTGTATGCATGTTTGTTGCTAATGCCTGCCTCTCTTCCCTGATTATACCGTGGTCTTTCAGACCCGGTAAATCA